GAATGAACTGTCAGACCAACTGGCCTCTCCGTTATCAAAGATCTTCAAAACTTCTATGGAGACCGGGGCTTTGCCTACCGACTGGAAGAAAGCAAATATAAGCCCCATTTATAAAGGTGGCGAGGGAACAGCCCCAAATAGTTTCAGACCAGTGAGTCTCACTAGCATCTGTTGCAAGTTGATGGAAAGTGTAATAAAAATCGGAGCTGATGCGGCACCTCGAAGAAAACAACTTGCTCAGTCTACATCAGCATCGATTTCGAAGCGGTCGATCCTGCCTCACCAACCTCCTTGTATCCATGGAGAGCTGGACGAAATCCATTGACATGGGCTTATCAGTCGACGCCGTGTACATCGACTTCAAAAAGGCTTTTGACAGTGTTTCACACAGACGACTTATATGCAAACTACGTTAAGTGGGTGTGAGTGGAAATCTTTTGAAATGGCTAGCCGATTTTCTTACGGGCAGGTCTCAGCGTGTGTGTATCGCAAACGCTGAATCGGAATGGGCATCCGTGCACAGTGGCGTTCCGCAAGGAAGCGTTCTGGGTCCAATTCTGTTCCTTATATATGTGAACGGCTGCCTGGACTGTCTGACCTGCGAGCGAATAATGTTTGCCGATGATCTAAAATTGTGGAAATCAATAGAGAAGCCGGAAGATTCTGTACATTTAAAAGACAATTTAAATCGCTTGAAAAAATGGTGTGATGAGTGGTTTCTTAGCCTCAATCGTAACAAATGCCAACTTATCCGATTACGTTAGAGCAACAGGAGGCCGTTGGGATTTGAATCTCAGTACTTTATAGGAGGTCACCAACTCGAATCAGTCAACGAGTTAAGAGACCTCAGTGTGTGGATGACGTCAACTCTCAAACCATCGTCTCACTGCGCCAAGGTATCAAAGAAAGCTATGGGTATTTTAGGCGCGATTAGAAGATCCTTCGTCAATTTTGATGAAGAACTTTTCGGCCGAGTATTTGGCGCATACGTCCGACCAATGTTGGAATATTTTGTCCAGGCATGGTGTTCCTGGCCGAAAAAAGATTACACCCTAGATAGATAGATAGATAGATAATTTTTATTAAAGACCCGTCGGGGTCCCATCAAAGCAAGTTAAAATAAATTTGCATGCGAGTTTTAGACGAGGTAGGCTGAATCTTTACAAAATGCAATTCATAGTTTCTGAATTAGAAGTCCATTGAGAAACATGAAGATTGAGGGGTGAAAAAAACTCCTCGGAAAAAGTTAAAAATGATTGGATTAATTTTACAGGAGAAAAAACCCCTCTTTAAAAATAATAACAGAAAAAAAGCGAGCAGCACTGGCCTGTAGGTGGCGGTATATAACGGAATGTTTTCGGTCATCGTCAGGGTATCAATAAATGTCCGCCTTGATGGGTACGAATGTGGGTCAGACAGGACTGGCTTGCAAATGGCATTGTATACGGGATTCACAACTCAGATCGTCTGGGCCGGATTGGTACGCCCCGTCAAAGAGGCCAGACGAGAGGAACCGAGATGCGATCGGCCACAGCACGCTTCGAGCTCAGCCGAGCAGTGAGGAAGGGAGGTACGACCGAACTACTAGTAGACAGTGAATACGGAGGGTTCCGCCGTGAGCGTCGACAGACCGCAAGAGGTCGGAATGCGGGAGATGACATCAAAAACCGCGAAAATTGTCGCTATGGGGGGAAGGATAGCGATGGATTTAGAAACCAATTAAAAACAGGGGTTTCTAATGATATAATTAAGAGTTACCACTTAATCTACCACTAAATCCCAGGAGGACCCTTCTCGAAGTCAAGAACCTGAGTGTTCGGGAATGAGACCGTTAACAGTGCCTTTATGCTTTCCGGTGTAAGATGGTTGCGTAATTTCGACTTGAATATCAGTAACCTAGGCGATTATCTCATTTCAGGCGGAAGATTATTCCAAAGGAAGGCATATTTGGAAGCAAAGAAGAGGGAGCGCTTAGATGTAGTACAAAGAGGCGGCGGAATCACCATGCAGGAGTTGCGCGTGGCATAAGACCGATCTCTCGGAGTGAGAGTGTCAATGTGCGGAAGACTGGAGCTAGAGTTGATGCGAAAAAGGAAGCAAAGGCCAGCTTCGAGTCTTCTAACCCACAAAAACTTCATGTTCGCCAGCTGACATCTCTGAGTATAAGAAATACTGGACGAAGCTTGAGAGAACAGTTTCCG